AAAGAAAAAATCAGAGGGGGAAAAGAGGGAAAGATATAAATTTTCTTTATTATATCTTTATTTGTGATTATGAATCCTTATAATAATATATTCGCAATTTATACTGCAAATGCTTCTTGTAGGCAAGACTTTTCATACCCATGATTAGTATTCAGCAAATCCATCAACTGCAGTAGGATTGAGGAGTGATTATAGCAGTAAAAATTAGGAACATATGCCCTCCTTGTCACAAGAGGAGATACATGAGCTTCAGGTCAACCAAAGCCTCAGAGTAATGAAGGAAAGGAATTTGCGCACCATACCTATCAGATGGAAAGAGGACGCATAGGAATTTGTTTTTCTTTTATTTCTTTTTCTTTTTTCTCTTCTTCCTTTTCTTTTCTCTCTTTTTTTTCTTTTCTTTCTTCTTTCCTCTCTCTCTCTGATTTTGTCTTTATCACTTGCTGATATTTTTATGACAGTGTTGGAGGGCCAGTAAAACAATTGGCTTGGGACCCTAGAAGTGAACGCCTAGCTGTAGTGTTCCGTGATACTGAGTGTGTCGCTCTGTTCCACACCCACACTCACCCTTCCTTGCACTTGGCACCTGGGTAAGGAATTGTTCATGTTTTTCTGGTATTATGAATATTTTAATTTCTGATGATGACCTTAGGGTCAGTTGAAAGTGTCACTGGATAAAACATTTCCCTTAAAAATAAAGTAGGTGAAGAAAGATGAAATACTTAAGAGATCTATATTCTGACATAAAGCATATGAATATATAGAAATGTGTGTGTAGAAGAATAAGAAATGACAGAATTTACTATTACTTAGTCTTTTTGTATTATCAGATACATAGACCTGTAAGCACATAACTATAATGTCTATTTCATTTCAGTGGATTTATAAGAGGAGAGCCAGGTCACATTCCAGTCAGCATCAGTTTCCAGCATAATTTGAATACCGGAGCTGTCCTGTCTGTGGTAAGGAGCATTCCAGTTACTGAATGCTTGATTTCACCCTTGATAAGTTCATGAGTGATATTCTGTCTTGGCTAGTTTGTTGATTATTATCAAGACAAGTATCTTACTGTCACTTGGAATTAAATTATCTTGGATCAGTAAGATGAATTGAGTATTTTTGTCACTAATTCGTTCCTTCCTAATCTTGTGCCTTTCTTTGCTGTTGTACTTTTTTCTGATATTCATCATTATTATTATTATTATTATTATTGTTGTTGTTGTTGTTGCTGTTGTTGTTATTCTTATTGTTGCCATTATTGTCATCATCATCATCATTATTAATACTATTATCATTGTATGATCATCCATCTATTTTTGTTGTCTACTTCTATTAAATTTCCAACCAGGTCTGGAGCAGCGGACAGGTCCAACACATCCCCATGAGATTTGCCTCACGGGAGCCGCTGAACACGACAATAATTGCTGGAAATCTCAACTCCTCCATAAGAGCTTCAGCCCTCAACTCAAGCCTAGCCATGAACAATTCTGTGTCCTTTGTAGGGTCTCCTATAACATCTCCATTGACTGGCCGCTTGTTTTCATCACCTGATAAAAACCTTTAAAAAAAAAATTATAATAATGGCTTGTCAGTACAATATATTGAGGATTCTATTTCAGGTTAAGTTGCTTGGTGATTCATCCTCTTTGTGTAAAATAGTTCTAAGGATACTTGGATTAAGTATATGTTGCTTCTGCAAGAAATTGTGATAAAAAGAGTGGAACGGATGTCTTATTACTTTTTTTTATAAAGGATTTTCCTCAAGGAAATGTTGTTTCTAATAAAGCATATTTAAATAA